CGATATTTGTCTTTGGTGATCTGGTCACCCTAACCCTGTAAAGCAGCCTAAATGGATAGCTGTATAGAGCCAGGCCCTTTACTACTAATGAAATCAGCAGGGATTAGAGATTGTTGTACAAATTGCAAAGAATTTCGTCTCACTTTCTTTTTCATTTCAGTGTTCTGGACTTGGAGCCTCTTTCTGTTATATGCTTTCATATTTAGTTGGACGGCCAGTTGTGTACAAATATTTAACAGAGAAAGCAGTGAAATGGTCAGAGCAGGTAAAGTTGCTTTTGGTAAACATTCATGCTGATTATATAAACTTAGAATTGAAGAAGATGGAATCATAAGGGGTTTTGGTGTTCACAGTAAACCTAATAAGAAATGGCTGATTCTGCCATCATTACTCACAACTAGCACCTCACTCCAAGTGTATTCTCCTTAAAGCAAATGGTGCAACTCATTAAGTGTACAGTACTACTGTACTTGGTATGAATAAGCATGGCAGAATCTGGCCCAAAGCATATTTATGGAAGAAGATGGAAAGCAAATTTAGCATTAAGCAGGTTCAGCAAATACAATTAAATATGTAGTCTTCCTAATGTGATATTTAAACTTTTTCATATAAGGAATCAGCTTAATTTTTGAAAATTAAACTCTCCTCTTAAATTTGAGTTCATAGTTAATCTGTCTAATTGCAGTAATACTCTTATTTCAGATTTAAAAAAAACATGATTTTTTAATGTTACAACAGTAAACACCCTCTTGGATGAATTTCACTGGAAGAGCTTTTCTTGATGAACAAAACCATGCTCTTTACTTTCTGTGCCCAATGTTCTATTCTTAAACAAACTTTAAAGTCAACTTCTCTGGCCATTGTGGATCAGGAATAACTGTTTTACAAATCTTTGTTTGGATGTATAGTTCATTTAAAAAAAAAATCTTTTAAACGTGTTTCTCCATAGCCAGGCAAACTGTACCTGATCTGTTTTGGCAGGAATCACATTAAGCTGTTATCACTATTTGTGTATATAGGGTCTCTAGTCCCATTTACATGATTATTCAACTGTGGATGTGGGGTGGGATTTGATTACAATGTAGTTGTCCCATTACTCTTTCAACACAGCTACAGATGGTGCAGTGTAGATGAAACCGAGATAGTTTTAAGAATTGTGCTAAAACCTGGGATATTTTCCAATTAAGTGAAAACATTAAGCACTTGCTATCTGGGACCTATCTCCACTAGTAAAGCTGCACACACGAACAGCCCAAAACCATGTTATAAGCATGTTGAGAAGCTGTTTCTAAATCAGATAACGCATCTTGGTTCAAGGCCCACAGGTAAGATCAAACTGTGTTATAGTTTAAGGCTTCACTTCTCTTGTTTTTCACCAGGATAAAAAGTGTATTTTTAACATGATGTTGACAAGGCAATTTGTAGTTATTAGTTTTAGTATGTTAGCTGGTCAGAATAAGCCTTAGGCTCCCCTCGCTAATGCATGTTCAAATGCACCTCTTCCTTTATTTAGACACACATACTGTATCTAACTTTGGTGTATAAACAGTAAAACCTCAAGTCTGAATAAGGTTTTCAAATACACTGCTACCTCGATATAATGCGATACGATATAACACAAATTCGGATATAACGCGGTAAAGCAGTGCTCCGGGGAGGGGGGGAGAGGGGTGGGGATGCACACTCCGGTGGATCAAAGCAAGTTCAATATAATGCGGTTTCACCTATAATGCGGTAAGATTTTTTGGCTCCCGAGGACAGCGTTATATCGAGGTAGAGGTGTATGTGGTGTAAAAGGGCATCTGGATCTAAGTTTATACATTCTGCTTTTCTATCTGATGTATCTGCACAAACAGAGACCAATAGTTGCTCTTTGATGAGCTATTTTTGTTTCCTTGTTAAAGAGTGAGTTGATTTAGTTCACTGAGTAGATAGAATATGATGTCTAACTCCCATCCCAAAAATCAGAATTTTTGAGCTAACTTCAGCACTATATTTAACAAATGTTTTCCTGACCCTTCTCACAAGCTCCAATCAGAACTTGTTTAAATATTTTGTCTGTCTATTTTTTTGCCTTTGTTAATTTCTGCTAAAGAAAGGTTTATATAAACTTCTTAGCTAATAACCAGACTACAGATGCACTATATCTGAATAAGAACAGCCTTATTTAATGGTACATGTGTTTAAATTAAGATCATTGTATTTCCAAGACAGGGATTTTACTGATTTTTTTTTAATTTTGTGGCAGGTTGAACGACACAGAGAACACCTCATTAACTACATAATATTTTTGAGAATAACGCCTTTTCTTCCTAATTGGTTTATCAATATAACATCTCCTGTAATAAATGTACCACTGAAAGTATTTTTCATTGGTACTTTTCTAGGTAAGAATTTTGGTTAATAAATTAAAGCTTTCTAAGGACCCTGTTGTTTTTTCCTCCCCATTCAGAGAAACATTTAGTGTATATCACCATCTACTGGTCAACTGAATGATTACATGACTTCACTATTTCTTTTATTTATGTTTTTCTATGGAGCTGATCATCATAATATGTGAGGGCCTCACATCTTACTCCAGTGTTGTTCACATTTTACAGTTGGTGAAAATGAGACAGAAGTTCAGTTACTTGTCCAAGGTTACATGCCAAATCTGTACACTTCAGCAGTGTCCTTTGTCCCATTTTGTGATTTTTTTTTTTAAGTAGAATGACTGTTTTGTATTGAAAACGTGAAACTCAGATTTATTTTATGTTCTTTATGCAAAATTGTTTTGCCTCAGAATCTCTCATGTTTTCACATGAAGGGCTTGTTTTTCTCCAATTTGTTTACCATTGTCATTTTTCTTGAACGGATTAACTTCCTAATGACATTCAAAAAATGTTTTGTGTAGTCTTCAGTTTGCATTTTGTTACAAATATTTTTCACCCGGGCTATGAGCTATTCATGTACTACTAACTCTATAGGAAGCAGTATAGTCTAGTGCAGTGGTCTCCAAACTTTTTTGATCACGCACCCCAACAGCCGAGGGAGGGGGGGGGGAAAAAGGCTGCTCGGACTCCTAGCCGAACTGCCAAGGGTGGGGGGGGGGGAGGGGGCGGGGAAAGCCGCTCGGACTCCCGGCAGAACTGTCGAGGGGGGAGGAGGGGGGGAAGCGGCGCTGCTCCGGCAGCGCTCCTTCTGCCACGCACCCCGGAGGATCCTCTTGTGCAGCCCCTGGGGTGCACACACCCCACTTTGGAGACCACTGGTCTAGTGGATGTAATATTGGATTATCATTCAGGAGACCTTGGTTTAGTTCCCACCATTGGAGTGCTGGGTGACCTTGGGCAAGTTAGTGCACTGATTTCCCCATCTGTAAAATGCAGATGATAATACTGACGTCCTTTGTAAAGTGCTTTGAGATCTACATAAGAGCTAGGTATTACTATTATTATTATTGTCTTGACTGAACCTAAAATAAAGTGGTAACTAAATTAATCTTACAAGATGGGAATTGTCTCTATCTTGGTGAACAAGTGAATTATTTCCCCCTAAAAAACAACAACAACAATCCTATGATGTCAAAATACATCTATTCATTGGTGTGTCTACTAGATTCAGTGCTTCGAGACGTTTCGGAAACTCCTTTTTTTTCCTTGTCACAAGAAAATTATATTTTCCCAACCTTCTAGTTTTATTGAGCTGCATAGCTAAACAAAAATACAAACGAAGATTATCTACTTAGCACTTATTTTATTATTTATTAACCACTAACTATGTAGGGAAAAACAGCATGTAATTTAACAAGACTGTTCTATGGTGTTGAGACTTACATATAACAATCTGTTTGTAATAAAGCTTACTAAGTAGTATGCTTTTTTGAAGGGCATTGTCTTCTAAAATTTAGTATGAATAGAAATAATATGAATGGGAACTGTAAGGTGTCTTTAGTTTGGGATTTTAGGATATAGTCTGTTGTGGCAATTTAGGAAGGCCCCACTCTTGTAAAGAAAAGGACTACTCATGGTAATGAAGTTAACCACATGCATAAATTATTAGCTATCGAAACTGAAATCTCAGGTTGGGTAAACTTGCTCAGTTCTCTCCCTGTGCTTCAATGGAACTACAGCTTATATTTCCCCTCTTTATAAATGGTGACCCTTCACAAGTTGCTCTCTGACTTCCTGTGTACCACCATACATTCTTGTATTTTTTTTATTATGGATGGGTAGTTAGGTGTCTTTGTTTGGAAATAGTCTGTAGTATTTGATTTCATAATGGATTACTAACAAAAATCCATGCAGAAATGTATAATTAGAAACAAAATTAGACATGGTAAACTGTTGTTTTTGGTCTAATCCCCATGTGCTACTTACTCTTAGTCTGTACATGCAAACTAAAAAGTCAGTACAACATACATAGTGGGAAAAATAATGTACAGCTCTTTAGATTATAATATAAGGTCTAGGTGCTATAGAAAAATGGTGTATGTATGTTTTTCTGTATGATACTGTACTTGTTATGACCTGTATTTTTATTAAGTTCTTGACTTTGTTGCTTTAAACTGTTTCCAACAAAGTTCTAAAATGGAGAGCATTTGCTTGCCTTAAAAAACAAAAAATTGAAAAGTAACTTGTGCTTTTATTGTTTTAGTTCTCTTTAACTGATTCTTTGTTTTATCTCTGTACACATAGGTGTTGCACCACCATCTTTTGTAGCAATTAAGGCAGGAACAACACTGTACCAGCTTACAACAGCAGGGGAAGCGGTTTCCTGGAACTCTGTATTTGTTCTCATGATTCTAGCTATTCTCTCTATTCTGCCAGCAGTCTTTCAGAAGAAGCTTAAACAAAAGTTTGAATAAAGATCACATTGGATCTAAATTTCCCATAATTCATCTCAGGATCAGCACTTCTGATATTTGTATGTTTGGTTTTTTTTTATCAGATCCTCAGCAATGTAAAAAAGGGGAGACTTGTAATGGATAAGAACTTCCTTATTTCTTTAAAGGAGCATATTTTACTGTCTGACATTCAAGGAACTGTGTTCAGAAATACTCTGCATACAGTTTTGTAGTCCAAACCATCAGTGTTTTATTCTTTGAAGGTGAGAGGAGGAAACTCAAAACACAGAAGATTAGTTAACTTTTTGCTTTCATATATGGGGCAGAAAGGCAAAATTGGATAGCTTAAAATGCAACCTACAAATATTGGTTTCTAAAAGTTCAAATAACTTTTGGTCAATGTAGTTTGTAGCATTCTACATGACTCTGCAAACTTGAATGTAACTTAATGGTTTGGTCTGAATAGTTTTCTCATTCTAATTTTCCACTTTCATCTGCTTTTGTCCTTACTGGTCCCAGAATAATGTAAAGTACAATGGCATTCACTTGTAAAACATAAGCCTTCTCTCTTGGAGCAGTATGTTAAATTCCAGTGATGTAAAACTGCAGGAGGCTAAAATGCATTCTTCTTTCTCTTCATTAGTGTTGTCTCAATTTAAATACTTGAACTGCTTTATTAACTGGATTAACAAATTCAGTCAAATCATTCCCATACTGTAGATTTTATTTTTGGAGAGCAGGTCAGAATTTTATCTTGGCTTGTTGATTAATTTTGAAGTTTTTAATGCTTGTTTAGACTGATTTTTATTTGTCTAGTTTTGCCAGTATTTCAGATGCATAGACTTATCCTGCCAATTTGAGGTAATTACAACATTTTGTTATACAATATATTTCAGTCCTTAAATGATTAAAGCAAATAGAGTAATTATAAGTGACTTACAATTCTTAGGATATATTGAGAATTTGGGACAGAAGGGAGGGAATTTTGGTCTTGGCAATAGTAACCTGCTACCATTACAACTCATCTGGCTAAAAAGTTTTATCAGGTATGCAAATTATTACACAGTTCTTTTGTTTATCTGAAATATTGCCATGTAAAGCTCAGATCATCATGTAATAAAAATCTTACACTTTATACATAACCTAGAAGGCTGCATTCTGTGTTCTGACTGGTGGGTAATTGGTGGTGTTTTATCATCCACTAAGGTATACAATACCGTCTCTTGAATGGTTATCACTACTGTTATCAGTTTGTTGCATTGTCAGTGGGCCCCTTAAAATATAAGCCCCCAATTCAACACAATACTTAAGCATGTGCCTAAGTACGTGAGTAAGTCCTACTGAAGTCAGTGCTTGCATGCTTTAAAATTAGGCACTGCCTAAGTATCTGTCTGAATCAGGTCCTGCCTCATTAGTACCTGCTTTGCAGTGCTCAGATATCTGAGGAATTACTCTGCTGAAATTTTGTACAGTGTCTTCTCATCCTGAAAACTCATCTAAAATGCTCCATGACATGACATAAGAGAACAGTACTATAAATGTGATGATATGAAAGGTACTGGTACCTTCAACAGCTTTGTTCTTTTGTAACATAATGTGGATTGACTCATGCATTTTATCACCGTATTATGTGTAAATACATAGGAAATATATTAATTGCCTACACTATTTTTGTCATCCATTTTTCTTTTATGTAAACTGACTTTTCAATGCCTATTAGATTTTTTCATTCAGATGCGGACTACACAATAAACTGGTGGTTTTGTGTTGCTAGCTAAAACATCAATGTTTTATCACTTGTTTACAAGGTTCGTTGTAAAATATAGCTTTGGGTATTTATGGGTTTAGAATTTTTAGTCTAAAAATGTACTTTAGTTTTAAAGGTTTATAATGTTCTATGACCTTGGATCCACCAGTCTGAACAGTGAGGTTTCTTCCTGCTGTAGTGTTAACCTTAGTCAGAAAAAAAGTCCCTCTTTAGAGATCATTCAGCACCACTGCTAGTCCAGTGGCATCTCTAAACATTTCTGTGTGTCCTGCCTGACATAGGTCAGTATAGATTCTACTTTTAGGTTTCATCTACACTATCAAACTGCAGTTTGAGGGACTCTTGTCATAGAAGGGTCTGAACTATGTTTCAAGTGCTTATGAATCATGCTAGAGCCTTGGATTTTACAGGGTAGTCACAATTCACTGTGTAGATGGGACTAAGCTATGTTGTGAAGTTAAAACTACTCCAACCATGTTCTAATTGGCTTCCCAGCACAGTAGCTTTTTATAGCATAGAAAGGACCTTACCTTACAGTTCTCTTCTTTTGCAAAAACTTAATTGGCTTCTAGTCAACTGTTCCATGTATATCTTCAGTGGATGTCAAGAGAATTTCCTTGAACAGTCCCTCATCCCTGGGAACTACTTCAGTGTATCTGAATACTACAGGCATTGGAATGAAAAGAACAGAAAAGAATGTGGGATAAGGCCCAGTTATGGAACACTTGCAATGCCTTCTTTTCTTTGGAAGGAAATTCAGCAAGTGATTAAGAGGTACAGCTCTCTAACAGGAAAACAGTGTCTGTCATGAAGCAAGTGGGAAGGTAAGAAGATAAAAAATGTAACTCCTTTGAAATATCAAGGCATTTTGAACTGTTAGGTAACCTGTTATCTTTGGAGTTGTATTACTCTAGTAAACAACATTTCCAAGACGCCATTACTAAATGTCTTTTGCATTTGATAATAAAACAAAACTATACAAACTTGTAATGACTTTTCTTTTGTGTGCACTAGCTTCACCTTTTTTTTAACATACAGTAAATTTTTAGCTGAATCTATTTATAAACAGTTGAAGTGTTCTGAAATAGTTTTTACAGGCACTTAGAATTACTAAGCCAACTTCAATGCACTGGCTATTCTCCTTGTAGAATAGATTTAATTTGTTTATAGTGTCAGAGCAAAGTAAGAAAACATGACTTTTGCCATGTCTGAGGATTTTAATATTTTGCACAAACAATCCTGATGACTAATTGTGGAGTACTGTCATTGTGATGCTGCTCAAACTAAGACAATTGCCATATCTAGGGATTTAGGATGATACAAATCAGACACTGATGACCAGATGAGATCATCTGTGCTGATCACTTTTTATTTTCAATTGAATTATTGAAAGACCCAGAAGTTTTGAAAGTAAAACTTTACTCAGAGTCTTCAAAATTAATGATGGATCTATATGTTCAATCTACAGAATGCTGTCCTGTAGCAGTAGGATTGTTCTTACATAAGGACCTAATTAAGAGGCTTTTTATCATAAAATTACAATAGCAAATAAGGAAAGTGTTTTCTTTAAAATACCACTGACTGGACTATCCTATTAAGCAGAGTAAAACACTTTTTTTTTTTTTAAGCTTTTCAAACTCGGTTCGCAGTCTGTTTTGGTTGGTCTGTGCTGGTAAATGGTATATGAAATAGATGGGTATTCACTATTGTAAGATAAACTAAAATAGATTTCACCTTAGGAAATTTTGGAAATCTCTCACTCTGTGGTTTGCAATGGGATCTACGTGTTCTCATCCTGACTGCCTTAATGATGCTCAGCCTTTTACTGGGAGATAAGGCTGTATCAAGCTGGCAGATCTACTGGCAGCTGGGGGTGATACCAACCCCATTCAGGGAATGGAAATACTGAAGGAGAGGTGGTCTTGATGCACCTTTGAAAATTATTTTTTAACATTAGTAAATAGTTTAAAAGCTACGTGGAATACTATAATGCATTTTGTAAATGGTGCTATGTAAGAGTTAGGTTCTATTTTTAATGTCTTTGCAGCACTGTGATTATGCTGTGGAAATACTAACAAGTAAAATTCTAGCACAGCTTCATGAGGGGTGATATCTAAGATATATAGGTATAGTGAGGCTCTCTAACATGGCCAAAAAACATTATGTACAGTTTATTAGGATTTAAAAAGGAAGCTCCTGGATATTTCTCACTCTTCTAGATCCACCAAAAGAGAATTGACCTGAAAAGTTGTAATCTGTAGGAGAAAGTTGTTCAGAGTTTGTCTAGATTTTAAACTCCTCTATGTTGTAGAACCTATCTTCCCCTTCTCCCCGCCCCCAAATTCATTGCTTTAATTTCTTAGCAGCTACCACCACTGTATTGATGTTAATGTGTTCCCTGTGCAAGCTCTGGTATTGTTTTCTACATACACATTTAGTACTTTGGCAAAGTGGTGAAAGTCCCGCTTTACCTTTTAGTGAAGTAGAATCTCCTCTCTAATGTCTGGTCTACACTATGAGTTTAATTAGAATTTAGCAGTGTTAAAACAAATTAACCCTGCATCCGTCCACACAACTAAGCCGTTTATTCCGATATAAAGGGCTCTTAAAATCGATTTCTGTACTCCTCCCCGACGAGGGGAGTAGCGCCGAAATCGATATTGCCATTTCAAATTAGGGTTAGTGTGGCCGCAATTCGACGGTATTGGCCTCCGGGAGCTATCCCACAGTGCACCATTGTGACCACTCTGGACAGCAATCTGAACTCAGATGCATTGGCCAGGTAGACAGGAAAAGCCCTGTGAACTTTTGAATTTTATTTCCTGTTTGCCCAGTGTGGAGAGCACAGGTGACCACGCAGAGCTCATCAGCACAGGTAACCATGCAGTCTGAGAATCGAAAAAAAGAGCACCAGCATGAACCGTACGGGAGGTACTGGATCTGATCGCCATATGGGGAGAAGATTCAGTGCTAGCAGAACTACATTCCAAAAAGACGAAATGCCAAAACTTTTGAAAAAATCTCCAAGGACATGATGGAGAGAGGGCACAATAGGGACTGATATCAGTGCCACATGAAAGTTAAGGAGCTCAGACAAGCCTATCAAAAAACAAAGGAGGCAAACGGTCGCTCTGGGTCACAGCCGCAGACATGCCGCTTCTATGCTGAGCTGCATTGGGCTGCCACCACTATCCCACCTCTGACCGTGGATTCCGAGGCGGGGGTAATCTCAGCCACATTGAGGATTCTGCGGAGGAGGAAGAGAAGGAGGAGGAGGACGAACTTGCGGAGAGCACACAGCACTCTGTTCTCCCCAACAGCCAGGATCTTTTTCTCAGCCTGAGTGAAGTACCCTCCCAACCCTCCCAAGGCAGCACCCAAGACCACAACTCCATGGAAGGGACCTCAGGTGAGTTTACCTTTTAAAATATAAAACATGGTTTAAAAGCAAGCATTTTTTAATGATTAATTTGCCCTGAGGACTTGAGATGCATTCGCGGCCAGTACAGCTACTGGAAAAGTCTGTTAACGTGTCTAGGGATGGAGCGGAAATCCTCCAGGGACATCTCCATGAAGCTCCCCTGGAGGTACTCAAAAAGCCTTTGCAGAAGGTTTCTGGGCAGTGCAGCCTTATTCCGTCCTCCATGGTAGGACACTTGACCACGCCATGGTAGTAACAAGTAATCTGGTATCATTGCATGACAAAGTCTGGCAGCTTATGGTTTGCTGGCATTCAAGCAACATCCGTTCTTTATCTCGCTGTGTAATCCTCAGGAGAGTGATATCGTTCATGGTAACCTGGTTGAAATACGGGAATTTAATTAAGGGGACAGAGGTGGCCATTCCTACTGGGCAGTTTGCCTGTGGCTGAAAAGAAATCCTTCCCTGTAGTTAGCCAAGCGGGAGCGGGGGTAATTGGCGCTGAGCTTTTCGCATTTGGCTAGCAGGGATCTTCCCTGATACCAGCCACGCGGTGTGGGGAGGGGTAAAGCGATCATCCCAGAGAATTGGATGGGGGGGTGTTAGTTTGTTGTCTGCTGCAGCAGGTTAACAGGAAAACCGCAGCACTCAACGGGCTTTGCTTGGTATGTGGGAAAGGAGGGCGCAGAAGCCGAAAGACAATGGCTTACCGTGGCCGCATGCAAGCTAAATTCTGTTGCCCGGACCTGCGTCTGTGATCGCTAACAGCAAAGCCACAGGCACTCAATATTAAGATGCAAAATGCGACCTTGCACTGAAATCACATGTGCTATGTAATGTGAATAGTGTTGTTCACCGTGAAAGAGTATAAGCATTGTTCTGTAAAATGTATCTTTTTAAAAACTTCTCTCCTTTTTTCCCTCCCTACAGCAGCTGCAAATTTTTCAAGCCTCC